GTTTACTTTGTGGCTCCTCCGGGAGAAGTTTAACGTCAACCGTAGGATGCTGTAAAAAGACAAAGACAGCAAATTAGTAACTTAAAGTACAGAGTACAATTTGATTCTTAGAATAAAATCACTAAGAAGTCTTGAAATCCTCAGGTTTTCCAGGACCTGTGTCTATCCCTCTAAGTCACTTAGAGAAATCGGCCCATAATTTAAACCTTACTCACCCAAGAAATGCCTTGTTTTTGAAAAGCTTCTTCTATAACTTGGCACCTGTGAGGGTGGCTAAGACTTGGAGACCACGTGCTAACACAAACCCGAGCGCGCCCGGAACTCATCATGTTGTAAAATGAACAGAACGCCAGCTCGGAATCTGAATCCCGATATATGTGTGTATGTAGTTTGTGACCAGCCTCAACAAACTCATTTTGTTCCAGGACAACAGCTGCCAGGAGAAGTAAGCCAGAACTGGTTAACAAGGAATCCCTCCACAGCCTGCACCAGAGAACCCGAAACGACCCGACCCTGCGGCACAGGTCCCCCTCCGCCTCACACACGGCAGCACCACTGGGTTTTCCCAGGGGGCTTCTGAAGGGACGGCAGCGTCCATGGTTTCGTGGTATGACGGTCAGACCCGGATTTCTGCACATCCGGGTCTCAGTTCGCCATGCGCCTCACGACAAGACAAAGACCAGCAAGTGCTTCCCAGCTAAGGCCTAGGAGTGGGGAGGGCCCTTGGCAGTGTCAGAGGCTGCCTCCACGCAGCCTTCATGAGCTGAGGGCAGTGAGTTCCCTGATCTGACTCCATCTCTTCCCAAGAAGAGAGGCGACACAAGAAGAGAGGGCCTGTACAGTGGCCCCGAAGCCGCAGGATGTGTCTCATCTCACTATCAAAGCTATGCTGAAAAAGGTCTTATCAATCTTCATAAATCCTTGAGAATCTAGTTCTCTTAGCTGTTTCTAAACAAACCATTCTTTTCATCAGAAATATCTGTTTCATAATTATTAAAGTCTTATTAAACACTCAAAGCAATCCTTAAAAATATAAATCAATCTCAAACTTAACTGTATATCAAGCTGGTGGCATAACTATTCAGAGAATTACTCTAAGTGATTTTAAGACAGCATTTCCGTATAAGAGCCTAAAAATCACCAAGAAATCTTAAAAATGTACTCAGTAGGCTTATTCTTTGAGGTAAATGTTAGCATTGTTTGAAACTTTTATGTATTATACACACTGTAATAGGATAAAGAATTCAATTAATGTTAGGTACTCAGATTTTCAGCATAAAAGGAAATACAAACTTAAAGTCAAGTAAGCTAAGTAAAATACATAGAATCTGGTATTTTTAAATAGGGTATGTAACTTTGTAAACTAAGCTATAGATTTTCTTTGGCTTTCACCAGTTTTCCTCTTTCTACTACAGGACCCTATCTAGGATCCCACACTGTACTTAATTGTCACTTCTCTTTAGTCTCCTCCAAACTGTGACAGCTCCTCAGTCTTCCCTCAGCTTTCATCTACAGTTTTCAAGAGTGCTGCCTAATCGTTTTGTTAATCTTGCTCAATTTGAGACGAACCCCTGGGACACCCTGTCAGGAAAGCAAGGAAGCTATCAAAGACTCCTACGATCGAGTCGCAGGAGCAACAGTAAAGGAAAGGGACTCCCAATGGCAAAAGGACAATATGAGGATCAGAGAGACTGAATGGACACAAACACAAAAAATCCATGACAGCTCAATGCACCGCCACCACACTGGCCACCTTTCTGAAGAGCACCGGGGTTGGGACACGATGAGCCTCCCAAGCAAACAAACGGCTGGGCAGGGCAAGCTGCTCCCCACTCAGGAACCACGGCCAGTGAGTGGACAGTAAACGAACGACAGTGATAGAAACCAAAGCACTGGGACATCTGAGGAAACCGCGAAGGCCATGACGACAGACACCTGCCAAGTCACGTGAGGAGCTGCCAGGGAACTCCGAACCGCTGGCTCAGACGGGTGATGGCTGAAGCCACTGTTAGATCGTATCACTAACGGTGGGACAAGGTCCTACATTCTTCTTGATGTGATGAAAGAGCACCATCTACGAAATATTCTCCCAAAAAAGAACCTCATTCAATCGAACCGCCAGATCTGACTCCCAATTTAAAGGAAATTCTGGGACAACCCATGTTAAATAATAGCAACACAAAACCATTAGCTAAATCCAAAATGTGGGACACTTTATAAGACAGATGATCTCATTTTTATAGCAAACATCTGAGACATGGGAAAATGAGGGGATTTGTATTGCTACAAAATTCAAAGGCTTTAACCAAAATAAATTAATGTAATGTGAGAACTGCATGTGCATCCAAATTCACATGAATTAAATTTTAAAATGACAGTTCTGACAGGAAAAACTAAATGTTACCTAGGTAATAAAAGATAGTATAGAATGAGTATTAATTTTGTTGCATGCAATCGAGGTGCTGTGGCTGTTTATTTTTAAAGGTCTTAAGGGTAAGACATAAACTAAAAGAGTACGGATAAAACTATACATTTGGAATTTGCTTTAAAATGTGCTAATGTATTTTTTTAAGTGTAAGGAAAGGAAAGAAACCAAAATACAAGAATGCAGTTCACTGATGCAAGCTGAAAAGGTGGGCACATTGAGGACCGCTGCGCCGGCCTCTCTACTTTCTTCCTCAATGAAAGGAAAAAGGGATCTCTAACTAGGATGTAGTGTAAACAGACGTCTAAAATCACATACTGTCTTCTATCAAAACTATGTAAACCATTTTATGAACAATGCTCATGGCAGCTTCAGCAGATAAAAAAGAAAAATAATGGAATATATTACTATTATTTAAAACAGTCACAAAAATTACATCGGCTAAAAAAGCAGGATGTAAACTACAGACGGCATAATTAGTTATGTTTTAAAAATTCACATAACTTCGTGAAAATTTAAAAGCAAATGACACTAGAAGTAAATACACCAGATGACGAACAATAAAAATGTTAAAATTCAAGGATAGCGTGTTACTTTGTTTCATGCCTGCAGTCTCAACTTTTTGAATAACAACTTATGGGGCTTGCTGATTCCACGTCTACCAAGCAGCCCCCTCACCCTGCAGGTCGGCGGTGTCTTTCCTAGAGAAGAACGAGCACTGACCCGGCAGGAAAAGCATCTAAGTCCCTTCTCATCTGATTGTCAGTAAAGATGCTAAAAGTGTCATTTGGTCATCAAGCCATTTTCCTGTGAAACTACACTACTCATCTTGTTCTCCAAGACCGAGTCTCAAAGTGTGGTCTGGGCTCCGTCAGGGGACCCAGAGCCCCACGTCCAGGTCCAGGGGGTCGAGATGGTTTTCAGAATAATGCCGCGGTGTCATTTGCCTTTCTCACTCATTCTCTCCTCACGAAAGTGCAATGGAGTTTGGGTGTACTATCAAAAAAGAACATGTAAAGTTAAACGAAAAGACATTTAAAATACCCCTCACTTTTCCAACTATGTATTTGTATGGGGCCAAATTTTCTCCTCATACTTCGACCAAAATAACGAACGCAGAAGCAGATGAGAATCCCCCGAGAGTCTATTAAATCGGATATTAAGGGGAGGTGCAAACATATGAAACGATGCCGCTCTCCCCATTAAATTAAGATTACTGTCTTTTCATAAGCAATGTTATTTATATTACATGTAATAGGTCTGTTACTATTAGGAAAAAAAAAATTACCAAAATGTATGAGAACCACTGACATAAAGCCAAACTAGTCCTCATGGACAGACACCTGGCATTCTTGGATGGGGACGGTCCGTGTTCGCAGGTAGGGGACATGCCACTCTTACAAAGGAAATGCTCCCCAAATCCATCGAGAGTGTCGATGCAAGGCCTAGCAAGATCCCACAGGCTCTTTTTGCAGAAATCGATGGAAACCGATCCCAAATTCCTATGGAAATGCAAGGGATCCCGAATAGCCAAAACCATCTTGAAAAGAACAAAGACGGAAGAGTCACACTTCCCGATTTCAAAACTTACCACAAAACTAGAGCAGTCAATACAGTGTTGTACTGGCACAGACATACAGATCAATGGAACAGAACTGAGAATCCAGAAATAAACCCTTACCTTTATGGCCAATTAATTTTCAAAAGGGTGCCAAGACCATTCAATATGGAAAGAATAGTCTTTTTAACAAATGGTACTGAGACAACTAGATAGCCACATGCAAAAGAACGAAGCTGGACCCCTACGTCACTCTCTTTATAAAAATTAAAATAGATCAAACACCTAAGTGCAAAAACTAAAACTGCAAAACTCAGAAGAAAACACTGGAGTAGATCTTCGTCAGCTTGAATCAGGCAATGGCTTCCTAGATAGGACACCAAAGGCACGGGCAACGAATGAAAAAATAAATTGGTCTTCATCAAAATTAAAAACTTCTGTGCTTGGAAGTGCACCATCAATAAAGTAGAAAGATAACTCACAGAATGGGAGAAAATTTCTGCAAATCGTACATGTGATAAGGAACATATATCTGGAAAAAAAGAATTCCCAAAACTCAGTAATAAGACAAGTTAAAAAGGGGCAGAGTCTGAATCGACATTTCTGCAAAGAAAAAATACGAATGGCCAATAAGCACATAAAAAGATGCTCAATATTATTAGTCATTTGGGAAACACAAGTGAAAACACAAGATGCCACCTCACACTCACTGGGATGGCCACAATCGAAAAGAAGACAAATGCTGACAAGGATGTGGCGAAATCAGAACCATCCCACATTGCTGGCGAGAAGGCAGAACGACACAACTACTTTGGTAAACGGCTGCAAAACATTAAACATGAGTTCACCTGAAAGGGGTCCTTTCCAGCTCTAAGACGCCCTATAA